CTTTATTTCTGCATTTGTCCCTTCTTGTTGCTTGGGGAGGGGCAGCAGTGTGTGTGTGTGTGTGTGTGTGTGTGTGTGTTTATAGTGCAGTTGCTGCAGATCAGTTCATCAGCTCTTCTCAAATCAGTCTATCATCTATCTATCTATCTATCCTCTATCCTCCATCCATCCATCCATCCATCCCTCCATCACCCATCATCCATCTATGCAGTGCTGGGATTGAACCTAGGGCTTTAACATTGAACTACACCCTCAGACCCTTTTTAAACCTCTTTTTAAAATTTTGAGTCAGGATCTCACAAAGTCACTAAGTTGCTCAGGCTGGGCTTAAATACATGATCCTCCTACCTCAGCTTCCCAGAGTGCTGGAATTCCAGGTGAGCACCACCATGCCTAGGTAATAATTTTTTTCAATATCTGTGGTGCTGTTCACTGTGGTAGCCACTAGTCATGCATAGTTAAATGTAAATAATTAACAAATTAAATTAAACTTTACTTTTTGGCTATAACAGCCACATAGAAGGGCCTGCCGGCTCCATGTGGCTATCATAATGTAGATAAGGACAGATAGCACAGATAGAGACCATTGCTGTCACTGCAGAAGACTCCGCTGGACAAGATGGGTCTCCATATTCCAGCTCAGGGCCAGGGAAGCACAAGGGAGCTCATGAATGCAAGGACCCGTATTTCCTGCCTCTCTTGACACAGGTGGGGACTGTGCTGGTTAATTTGGCTTGTTAACTTGATTGGCTTCAGAGACACCTTGGAGATTAGTAGCGCTCACTTCCGGGTGTGTTTGGGTGGGTCCTGGGCCATGACTTTGGAGACTACATCTGATCCATCTGCCTCCTATCTGCCTCCTCTCTTCACCCTCTGCTTTCCAGCTGGCACGAGGTGAGCAGCGTTCTGGTGCCAGCCCCTTCTTCTGTGTTTCTGCCCTGGAGCCAGCAGGCCAGGGACCAAACCCCCTGAAATTATGAGCCAAAGCAAACATTTCCTCCTTCAAGTGTGTATGTCAAACACTTGGTCATAGTGATGGAAAGCTGACGGATGCAGGAACAGAAGGTAGGGTGTGGCTAAGAGGAGTGTTGCAAAACATTTAGGATATAGCCAAAGACAATACTCCTAAGGACATGTGGGAGAAAGAGAATGGGAAAGTGGCTGAAGCAATCATGGGGATTAGCGGAGACATCAGCAGAGTTTAAATCAATTAAACACAATCCCATATGCTTCCTCTCAAGCAAGTACATATTTGTTACGTAACCATTCTGTGCCAGCATTAGGAACTGCTACTGAGCTTTAAGGAATTTCAGGTTTTCCTCTGTCAGGCTTCTTCTGTCTGCTTTAAAGTTTGATAATCATCAGGCTTTAGCACAAGGCTCTTTCCTGTTTGTTGTGTGGCTGATTTTATCCACTTTCCTACATGGGGATTACTTCCAAATCCACACCTCTCCGATCCAGACTGTTTTCCAGAGCCAGTGACCTGCTAGGACCCTCCATGCTGTGACTCCTGGCAGCTCTCACTCAGTGTGGCCAGACCCACTCATTTCCTTCTCCAAGGCAGGCCTGGGGGAGCCATTCGTGCTGGTGTCATGGAGCCCACATGCACTGCTCACTGCACTAGGGTTCCGTCGCTGTAACAGACACCCAAGGCTGTCAGCTCACGACAGGAAGGGGCTTATTTTGCTCACAGTCTGGGAAACCTCAGTCCATGGTTGGTTGGCTCTGTTGCTCTCGGGCCTATGGGAGCAGACCCTGGAGGGGCCACAAGCGGGGGCAAAACTATGCACCTCGTGGGCGGAAGAGACTGGGAGAAGCAGGGAGGGGCTGGGGTCCCGCTGCTCTCTGAGAGCACGTCCAGGTACCGAAAGCCTCCTCTAGGCCCATGGCTCAAGGTCCCCACTCTGGGGACAACCCTTAGGACCTTTCAGATCAAACTGGAACACCTTCACCTGTATGCTCCTGGCAGCCAGAGGATATGATGCAAATGCTAGTTTAATCAGACGGTTCCTTGGCTTAGGCTCCATCGGTGCCTGCAGGAGAAAACCCAGTCCTGTCAGCCTCGTTGCACAGCCCGCTCGTCCATGCAGCAGCAGCTCTGGACATCACTGTGAAGCCGTGCAGCCCTTGTATATCCAGCACACCGAGCCCTGGCCCCAGACCAGCTGAGTACAGAGAGGCCGAGACTGAAGATCCCCAGACACCCATGGTGTGGGTGGGGGCAGGAGCAGCTACCACGAGTGATAAGGGCATCCTGGCCCTACTCACAGGAGGTGCTGGCCCTTGCAACAGCTGTCGCAGTAAGACAAATATTTGCTTTGTTGGAGAGATGAGAAATCTGGGTGGAAGAGAAATCATTGGGAACTACTTGAAGCTTTTAAAAGCTATGTGGGTTGAGGCTTTCAAAATGGCAGGGTGTTGAAGTGCATCATCTCTTCTTCCTAACAAAACCACTGTTTGGAGGAAAAAATTTTAAAGTTTCATTCGACACTTTCAGAAATTGTCTGGAGGGCACACAGCAAATGGAGAAACATTCTGCATGGGAAACCTACCAAGTTTCAACAAGAGCAGCAGGAATCTGTGGTGTCTGAGCCACCGTCCTCCCCCTGCACCCCAGCCAAAGCCCTGTGTGGCGGACACAACTCAAGGTTCTCTGCCCTGGAAGGATGTGGCCACCCCCAGCCCTGGTATAGCGCTACAGCTTCAACCTGGAGAGGGCAGGCCAACCACATTTCACACCTTCCCCCTCCTTAGGATGCGAAAGCCCTCCCCTCACAGAAGTGGCCAAGACAAAGGACTTCCACCCTTTACCTTGCTCCTGCTCCTGCGGTGAAGTTTCAGCTCCACCTACCTCGGGTCATGTACACCAGGCTCCCCTTGCCATCTCTTCCCTGCCACCTCCTCTCTCCCCAGCGCATGCCCGTGTCACAGATGTCACTCCGGAAGGGGCTGCAGTCCTTACCCTCGGCACTGTGCAGTGCTGCGGAAGCTCTGTCCAGAAGGAAGAGAAAGATGAGAAGCCCCCAGCTCTGGGCAAGGGACAGAGCCTGGAGGATTCCGCACCCAGTGATGTCTGAAGCAATAGCACTTGGCAGGGAACACTCAGGGCTCTGTGAGTGAGTGGCAACCAGCAAAGCAACAGAGCATCCTGAAACTTATCAGGGAGAACCACAGAAGCAGATAGGCAAGAAGAGCGCTCCTGGGCTCACACCCATCCCCGGGTGGTCTAGGAGGCTGTGCGAAAGCACCAGGAAATCCACTGGGATCAGCAGAGGACGTCGAGCATCATTTGCCAACCTGTACCCAGACTCAACAGATGACTGACACACTGGTGCGATTGGAGTGAAAAGCCCGATTTCTGGATGCTGATCAACAAGCCACTCTGACCAAGGGACAACGCCTGAGATTCCAGGCTCAAAAACAACATAAAGGTCACATACTATACAATGATGCTTCAGTCACTGTTTCTTAAAAATATATTTTTGGAAACCTGTACTCTGCTTCCCATTTTCCTTTTGAGATACAGCTGCAATCACGTGTTGCTTAATGATGGAATAATTTCTGGAGCAGCCACTGCCTGCGTTGTGGGAATGTCACAGAGTGCACTTGCATAGGCTGAGACACCCACCGGGTGCTGTAGTGTTGTGGGACCACAGTTGCACATGCAGTCTATTTTTGACTGAAATGTTTGTTTTGTGGTTCATGACTTTGTATAAGAGAAATAAAAGCATACACCAGTATACAATCTTGTTCAGGAACCTTCGCTGCAGCATTATTCTTAATTACCACAAAGGGGGAACATCCTAAATGTCCATCGGGCGGTAAGTGGAGAAACTATCACCGTACAGTGGGATATTATTTGACAATAAAAAAAAAAGGAATGAAGTGCTGATAGCCTCCTGCAACACAGATGAACCTTGAGAACATTATGCTGAGTGGATGAAGCCGGCAACAAAAGAGCATGTCATGTATTTGTATTTACACAAAAAGTCTAGAATAGGTAATTTTGTAGAAACAGAAATTAGATTAGTGGATGCCTGTGACTTCGAGGGCAGAGGTGGAATGGATTGAGGAGAGAGGGGGAGTGGCAGGTGATATTAGTATTTCCTTCTATGGATGAATTAGCACTAACAGTTACTCTGTGACTATTACCGCTTTTACTAATATATACCAATTATATACTTCTAAGTGGATGAATTTTATTGTTTGTAAATTTTACCTCAATAATCATGTTTAAAATTAGGAGTTGTTCCATGTGTACAAAGTTAGTCATACGACATGAATAAATTCTCGACATCTGTTGCCCAACACAGCGCCTCTACTTGACACTACATATACTTAAATATTTGCTAAAAGCATAGATCTCACATTGTGATCAACACACATATATACACACAGTTCATGGATATATTTATTACCTTGATTTGGCAGTTGTATCATAAGTGTATGCATATGTCCAAACCGATTAACCAGATACATCAAATATGTAGTGTTTAATACATCAATCATACCTCAATAAAGCTATAAACTAAGAGTAAATGGGAGTCTAGCATATGGCAGGCCTCATAAATGTAGGCTATAATTTTTAAAAGTGTGTCAACCACAGTTGTGGACAGTTCACATCTCTGTGTGTGAAGTGCAGGGAGGTTGTCAAAGGACTGAAGTCCAACAACGCGGGGAGGGAGAGAAGGCTGCAGGCAAGGCAGCTAATTTGGGGGTGGGAGAGGCATGAGAATTCTTTGTGGGGGTATGCTGAGTATCCAAGAGGTAACACCTATTGAAAATTAATTTTAAGAAAGTATGCTACCTGTGTGACAGGATAACTGTAGGTAAGTAGATGAACAATCTCATTGGTACTGTGCTAAACAGCTGAGCTTCCCTCCATAAGGCGCCTGGGGGTTTGATGTGTCCACTGAAAAGGCCATGTGAAGCAGAGGGAAGACTGGACAGTAATGTTTAAGTCAGAAAAATAATTCGGCTCTAAAAATGGTCTCTTACAGGTGTCTTCAGAAGACATACCCTCCCCAGCTCCCCTCCCTCAGCGTGATCCTCATATTCATGGATGAAGCTCTATCCATTATTCAACGGGCCATCACCAGCATAATTAACCGGACGCCCCCTCAGCTGTTGAAGGAAATCATTTTGGTGGATGACTTTAGCTCAAATGGTGAGCAACTTGAGAAAGAAGATGTGTAAAAATGGCTATTTGTCCCCTGTGCTTGGCTGGAAAGGGCTTGTAGCTTAGGGTTTGGGAAGCTGCAGGCTGCTCAGGAGGGGAAAGCAGAGGTCGTTCTCTGAGGGCCTATCTGTGCTGGCCACTCAGTTTTCACACAGCCAGGTGAGATCATTATCTCGATCACAGATGAGGAGACTAAGACACAGAGGGACTGCACAGTGTGCCCAGTTGCATGGCAGGTTGGCATGGAGCTGGGGTCACCCTGAAGTGTCCTGTGACCTTTCCATGTGCCACAGTGGGGACTGGAGGTACCAGGTGGGTGGGTGGCCAGGGAGGACTCCGGATGGCGAGAAGGGAGCCAGAGCTGCCACTGACAAGGAGAGGAGCGGGGATCTCTCTCAGGGGCCAATCCTGGGGAAGAGGGAGCTGGGGGCACTGGGATGCCGGGGCAGCCACTCTTGCCCACAGGATCTGTGCCCCAAGTCTAGCCCACCCGGGCCGTGCGTGGGAAATGGCAGAGAATGGATCTGGGTCCTCATTTTCTCAATTTGTCATCCCAGGTCCCTCTTTACAAGTGCTGTGCACTCGGCAACTCAACTGCTCCCATTTCCTTATATGCAAAATTATGGGTATTGGTCAGAATTCCAGTCCATGAGCTGCAGTGAGGCTGAAGTGAGATAATAATGGCAGGGAGCACTGTTCACTCTGAACACCTTACATGTGCTGGAGCTTTTGATCACGACAATGACCCTACAAGAAACAAACCACTCAAGAGCTTGCTGGACAACGTACAGGTAGTAGGTGTCAGGACAGATTTGACCCCGAACTTCAGCGTTCAAGGTGTGAGTGAACTGCCAGGCTTACAGATGTAATAACCGGGCCTTGTGCCTCATTTAGCACGTGTAACCCTCAGCAAGCGGTAGCTCTTAGCAGTGCTAATCTTGGGCACCAAGAGAAAACCCGGATTAGATGAAAAAGCCAGAGATTTGGGGTAGTTTTAGGACAATTTTCCTAGCTATGTGGGCTTGGAGGGGTGACCCATCAAAGACAGAATTTGCTTCTTCTCTGGGGATCTTTAAGTTCTTTCGGCTGCAGAGTCTCTCTGTGGAGAGAAAGATAGACACAGTGGCCACTTGACCCTTCCTTTTGGATTTCCAAACACAAAAACGTACTTCTCGTCTGCCTTGATACACCTTCTTTTCGTATCCTTCCACTATAACTAGATGAGAAATAAGAGAGTAGAATTTGCTAGTCAGGGGGCGCACACTGCAGTCTCAGCACTCTGGTGGGCCAAGGCAGGAGGGTGGTAAGTTCAGGCCCAGCCTAAGCAACGTGGTGACTTAGCAAGACCCTGTCTCAAAATGAAAAATAATTTTAAAAAGTGAGTGGGGATGTAGCTCAGTGGCAAGAACTTGGGTTCAATCACCACTACCACAAAGAAAAGGGAGGAGGAGGAAGAGGAGAAGGGGGAGGAAGAGGAAGAATTTCAAATGTCTAGAGCACAATCCCACTGAGAACCAAAGCAAAGGAAGCAGCTAGTGTCTTTCATTTCTGGGCACGAAGACGGGCAGCAAGCTGCACACCTGGATTTGCCAGCAAGAAGTGGAGGCTTCAGATGTTGGCCCTTGTCAGTGAGCATGCTGCCCCTCCCTCGCTGTCTGAGATCACCCCAGGCGGGCCCTCTCACCTCTCTGGGACTCAGCTTCTTCAAGGATTGAGCTGGAAGACCACCACAGATGCCTTTTTATGTGTGAGGGATCCCCACAGGATTCTAATTCCATGGTCAGTGGTGGGTATATAAGACTTAACTGAAGACATCTCTCTGTGGAGTAGTAAGACAGAAAATGCAGGATTGCAAACATGGGACAGGCACATAAAGGGAAGCTGAGCAGGGCCCCCTATCGTTCTAAACTCTGCCCCCTGATATAACATGCCCCTCTCCCTCTCCCATCTTCCCTCAAGGCAATTTGAGTGGGCCCATAAAGGTGCTGTTAGTCATTCTTTACTGGTGTCGCTAGGATGGGAGTTAGAGTTTTTTTGTTACACAGAAATACCAGCTAGAGGGCTGGGGATTTAGCTCAGTGGGGTGGGTACGGGATGGGGTGGGGGGAGATACCAGCTAGAATGAGCACTCCCTGAGTTTATCTCAGAAATCTGCTATTTTAAACTGAAGAAAATAATATACATGCCATAAGAGGAATTTATTATTCATGTAGCTTTGTGGGAAAGTTACTCAACTACTTCATTAAAAGTTCCTGTGTCTGAAACATAGGGGAAACTGTGCCATTTTGGGGACTCAATAATACACGTAACATGCTCAGAACATGCCATTCTTGCTCCCGGTAAATGCCAGCCTGTCTTAATACTCCCTGCTCACCTCAGTATTATTTGTACTGTTGATGAGATGCCTCAACCTGGTATTAGAAATTTTCCTGTCCTTTCTTTCCCTAGATGTGAAGCTCTATTTGCATCTGTCAAATAAATGTCTTAAGCATCAACAGATTTAACCTAAGACTTTTAGAAATTGTGTCAGTGTAGTGGTGATCCTGTATTTTCTTCCCAAATTTAGGCAAATTCCACAGCCAACGACTCTTTATTGAGCTCCTGTTAACTCCTGGTGTTCCTAAAAGTAGGCTAACCCTAAAAGTCGCAGCAGGGTGGGTGTAGGGAGTGGTCGCCCGCGAGTCCCACACTTCCCACACTGCCCACTCTTCGCTGTTGGGAGGAACCGCCAGCCTCAGACTCAGTGGCGCTCTTTCTGCAGCTTCAGTAACCGCGCCAGGCACTCTCGAGTGCAGCTGGAAAAGTTCCAAACTGGGGCAGGTTTCAGGGCCACAGCCACGTGGGCGTTCATCCCAGTCCTGTGAGAGGAACCACCCAGAGTCTCACCCGCTGGGGAGAGAGGAGACCCGGCAGCCGGGCAGGGCTGTGTGAATCCACCCCGGAAAGCGCAGTGCCTGAGGCGTATGGCTGGGGGTGGGGAGGCGGTAAACACAGCCTGGGCTCACACGCAGTCGCTGGACGTGTGACTGGGAAGGGTTTTTCCTGTCTCTGCGCCCCTGTCTCTTCATTTGTAAGTGGAGATACTGTAGCATCTTCCTCATTGGAGTCTCGGGATGAAGCGAGTCAGTATCATCAGCGAATAACTCAGAACACTTGGTTATGTTTTGCACACTGTTCAGTGAATTCCCATGCAGACTTTTCATCCATGTAAAGGAGGCAACTGGTAGGTGCAGTCAGAGAACAAAGGCCTAGTCAGGCTTTATAAGAACAAAAAGGAGAGAAGAAAGAAAAACACAGTCTACAAGTAGTGAATCTTGTTTCCATAATTTTGGGGAGTGAACTCTTGAGCTAGAAGCTTGCAAAAAGTTTTGTCTGTGCTTTCTGCCCCAGTTAATCCTGGGGCAGGCCGAGGAGGGGTATCCAAACAAACAGGCTCAGCTGTTCGTGGATTCTCCACAGTCTTTCGAGGTTAGCGGTGGAGACGTGCTGCCCAAAGCTGTCCGTCAGCATCTCCACCTGAGGGAAGGCAGGTCCGCCCTAACTCGTCCTTCCAAGAATTCCTCCATATATAAAACGCATTTCAACCAGGGCTGGTGCTAAGATGGTTCACGTGCGAGGGAAGGGAAATTAGGAGCGGCAACATTGGACCCGGAGGTCGAAAGGAGAGGAGGGTAGACGCGGGGCCTGCCCCCTGTTTCACGCACTGAGGCTGGGGAGCTGCCCCTCCTGCCCCAGAGGAAGTCTCCCTACTCTACAACAGCACCAGATGTCTGCCCCGCACTGGTGACGGCACACAGTGTTTCCATGGATGTGTGTTTGGTTGGCAGGAGAACTAAAGGCACGCTTGGATGAAACGATTGAGGTTTACAGCCAGTTGCATCCTGGACTACTGAAAATAATACGGCACACTGAGCGAAAAGGCCTCGCTCACGCACGGAACACGGGCTGGGGAGCCGCCGCGGCCGACGTGGTTGCCATCCTGGACGCTCATGTGGAAGTCAATGCTGGGTGGTGAGGCTAGGGGTGCTCCTGGGAAAGGGCGGGACAGGGACAATGCCTTAGTGCCGAACACAGGGCGGGATGTTGTGGAAACAGGACGAGCCAACCAAAGGCCTTAACAAAGGGAAACTTCTACTCAGGCATTTCGGTTGGCAAAGAGAAATAGTGTAGTGTTAAATAACAATGGGCTGGGAGCACCCACAGCTAGATCCTCACCCTGACTTTGCTAACACTTAAGTCACCTCACTTACCTAGACATTTTCAGCGTTATCTGTAAAATGAAGAAATTTCCCACTCAGTTCCCAAAGTTTTTCCCAGCCCTGAGATTGCATGCTATAAAGGCTAGATGGAGAATGTGGAGAACCACACAGGGAAAAGACATCATTTTGCAAACTGAGACCCAGGAGAGAGTGGAGATTCAGACAGAATACTGACCATAGCCCTGCTTCCCAATGGCCTGAGGGTGGTACTGGGCTACCAGCTGCCCTTGCCATGGGTCAGTTGCTAGCAGCCCAACTATCCTGAAAGCTGCAGAAACTCTGGGGACTCTAGAGCATCCTCCTCACTGGCCTGAAACAAGAAGGCAGTCAGTGTCTGGGCACGGTGCAGGGAGTGGCTTCGTCTGCCGTGCCTGCTGCATGCCTTTATCTTCAGGCTGGGCTTATTACCTGCTCTTCTTCCAGGGCAGAGCCCATCTTGGCTCGGATTCAGGAAGACCGCACTGTGATTATATCTCCTGTGTTTGACAATATTCATTTTGATAACTTCAAACTGACAAAATATCCACTGGCGGTGGATGGGTTTAACTGGGAACTGTGGTGCCGCTACGACCCAGTGCCAGAAAGCTGGATTGCTCTGGATGATGTCACTGCCCCAGTGAGGTACGTTTGCTAGGCACTGGGGCCTTGATCAGCACATGGGCAGGCAGGGACGAAGTGTGTGAGTTCAGTCTATGTTTGGTGATAGTGATAATGATGGGGTAAAAAAAGTGGATGAGCTGGGGTGAAGGATAAGCAATTAGAAAAAAATGAACCCAGATAAGAAACCACAGGCATTTGGGGCTATTTGGGGCTTCCAGACAAAACCCAAAGAATGTATTTGATATTTGAGGAGACACGTGGGGCCCTTAAAGCATTATCAGGCTATGAAATTGGGATACTAAGATAAAGAAGATGCAACTTTAAGATGCTTTGAGAAAGTCTGACAGCACAGGGGGCAGGGGGAAGCGAAAGGACTGAGCTCCCTCTGTGGGTTGAAGGGAGGGCTACACCATCAGAAGAGCGGAGATGGGGTCCCAGAGACTAAGCTATCCTAGGCGTCCCAGCCCTCACCGCGCCCTGACCCGTTCCTCATGCAGGGGCTGGCGACTGTCTTGTCTTCTACAGAAGCCCTTCCATCATGGGTATCCTGGCCGCCGACAGGCTCTTCCTGGGAGAGATAGGGGCACTGGACGACGGGATGCTGGTCTACGGAGGAGAGAACGTGGAGCTTAGTTTGAGGGTGTGTACCTGTCCCTGCTGTTTACGGGCCAAAGCAAAGGGGAGTGTGTTGGTTCTCCATCCTTGCAACAAAATACCTGAGGCAAACACCATAAAAGGAAGTGGTGTTTGTTTTGGCTCATAATTTCAGAGGGTTCAGTCCATGGTTGCTTGGCCCTATTGCCCTTGGGCAGGTAGTGAGGCAAAACATCACAGCAGGGAGCACATGGTGGGGGAAACTGTATACTCCTGGCACGTGGGAAGTAAAAGAATGAGAAGGGCTGGAGTCTCACCATGCCTTCACCAGCGCGCCCACCTGCGGTCTAACTTCTGCCCACTCAGATCCACTTCTTAAAGGTCTCACCACCTACGATGCCGCAGACTGGCGGCCCAGCCTTCACCATATGGCTCTGGGGGACATTTAAGATCTAAACCATAGCCGGAACATAATCGGATCTCTAGAACCCTAGAAAAGGATGAATATCATTGGCTCAATAAGTGGCCACAGTCTCGTTTCTGAGCCACCAGGCCTCAGAGGAGTTGGCAGTGGGATTTTGGGAGTGCAGCCTTCTGAGGTAGGACTGCATCACTGGGAGGTGTGGCGGGGAAGGGTAGAGTTGAGGCTAAGCAGATGTTGCCCCACTTTCCCCTGAGGATGCCAAACATTTTCCAAGCATCTCCCAGAATAAACCAACCTTAGAGGAAAACGGCTCCTTGTAAGTTCAAAGCCTGAAGAAGTGGAGTGGGTGGAGGGGTGAAGGAACGCAGATATGTAGGCGGTCAGCCTGTGTCTATGTGCACCTAGCAGGGCAGTGGACATGGCGGCAAAGGTCCGTGCTGAGATGCAGTCTAGGAGAAAAATCCAGGGATGGATGCAGCGTAGAGATCCTCAGTCCAGTCCTCATTCTCTCAGGCTTCATGTGTCTAGGATAATCCCAGCTTCACACTTCAACAGTGAGGCCTCTTGCCTGCTCCTGGCAGCTTCTCTTGCTTGTTTAGGTCAAATGCACAACCTGAAATTTTATGCTCTACAAGGGAATTTGTGGTGCAAACTAAGAAAACTACAGAAATCCAGGTCCAGGTTCGTTAGCTATTACAAAAAAAAAAAGGCTGTATAACAACTGTCCCAATCTTGTTGGTTTAAAGCAATGATAATTGATTCTCATGGATTTGACCACTCAGCCTAGCTTGGATGCGATGCCCTTTTCTGAGTACAGCAGCCATCTAGGGAAAGAAAATTCTTTTTGTGGTCCAGCAGAGGTCAAGTGGAGCCATATGGAGTTTCCTGAGGCCTAGAGTTGGAAGCGTGCTGTTTCAAAAGAGGCCACAGGGAAAAGCTCAAAGTGCTATGAAGCATTGGAGTGAGAAATCCCACACATCACAATCAATTTAGAACAGATTTCTTGCATAAAATACCCTCCCACAATGTCTTAGTCTCTGGTGCACAATACCCAACAGCCACTACTTAATGGAGGAGAGGTTTACTTTACCTCTTGGATTACTCCATGGTTGGCCGGCTTGGGGGGAAGACAGTGGGAGTGGGACAGCGGAGGAGAAGTTGCTCATGTCACAGCAACCCCGAAGCAGAGAGGTGGGAGATGCCCCTTCCAGGCCTCACCCCAGTAAGCGTGATTTGCTCTGGTGGTTAGTGATTCTGAGCGCTTTTCTTCATTAGATTCTGTCTTTCTCCAGTAACAAATCTTGGAGAACAATGAGTTTTCTCCTGACATTTAGTGGCCACGGCAGGGCCGGTGCCCCTGGATGTGTGAGAGGGGAGTACCGGGAGGAGAGAAAAGCCAGAATTTGTGAAGAAGTTACCCTGGGCCAGAGCTTCACATGGGGGGGCCAGAGCTTCACATGGGGTTGCCCGAGTCCAGAATGTGCATTGAGGGTTTCTTGCGCCAAAAGATGATTTTTCTTCCCTAAATTTCTATGAATTGGAAACTTTCATCAACTAGGAAAATTGAAGTGAAGTTTTCTTTGGATTTCTATTTGCATGACTGTAGAATGAGCAAATTGAATGTAATCACCACATGATTCTGGGGGGTTATGGAGGAGAAATAGGAGGACAGTGGAGAAAGGATGCGCTTCGGGGTAATCTTAGAGGCTGCCACCCTGAGTGCTTGCTAAGTCCGCTGGGTCCTCCTGTCAGCCTGGAGGTGGACGTGTCCTCTCTGCAGATGAGTGAGTTGAGGCTCAAGCAAGGGTGAAAGTTTTGACCCCAGCTGCCAGGTGTGCAGTTAGGATTTGAACACAAATCAGTTTGACTTCCAAGTTTGGTCTTTTCACTCCATTATTCTGGGTTGTGGGATGCTAGGTGGAGAGGTCTATGAGTTAATAAGTGGAGAAAGGGATGAAAAAAATTGGAAGTCACACAGCGGAACTGGCTCCTCAGGAGGACACTCTTTTAGATGTATTAACAGAGCCAGCAGAGTGCAACTACCCACCCTCAGCTCAGGGGCACCACTGGCCCAAGTGCAGTAGGCTTCGACTTCTTCTGGGAGTGAATTTGCTCCCAGGAACTGCAGCTCACCTGGACACGCGTGTGTGATGTCAACCCGGCGTGATTAGCTAGTTCTATCGTCCACAGTGTGAAAGCACTTTCTAAGCCCAGTCTTAGAATGCAAGCATGTTTGGATGAGTATTTTTGCACCCATTGAGGTTCTAAGGGAGAACATTTATAGGATCAGAAGTCATGGTAGCTTTTGCGTTGGTGTCTATTGCTGTGTAACAATATTATCATGAACTAGTGTCTCAAAGCAAGGCGCATTCTTTATCCCACAGCTTCTGTAGGTCAGGGGTCTGCAGCTTCGCTGGGTCCTTGGCAAAGCTGGAGCCGAGGGGTAGACCGGGCTGGTTCTCACATAGGCTGGGCTGCAGAAGGTCTGCCTTCAGGGTCGAGTGCTTAGGGATAGCGCTCAGTTCCTTCATGTGTGCTGCACTGAGGGAGCAGAACAGTCAGCATTTTGATGCATAGCTGGAAGCCGCTCTTGGTTCTTGCCATGTGGCCCTCCCCATACGTAGCTCACAACATCCCGGCTTCTGCAAAACCTGTGAGGCACAGTGTCTCCCAGCCAGATGGGCACTGCCAGCTTGTGTGGTGTAAACACAGATAGTAACCAAGTTCTGATTCTGTAAACTTGGTCACATCCCAGGGGTCAGAAGAAGCTCATAAGCCCACAGCCAAGGGAAGGGGATCAGGCAGGGGGTGGACACCAGGCAGGGGGTCATGGAGGCTGCCTCAGGGTCTCTCTGGCTCCTGACCCTGTATCTAGCGTGCAGGCAGGGAGAGGCTAAATCTGGTGAGCGGGGTCTGAGGACACTGTGCCTCTCAGGACCTCGGCTCTGTCCTTAGGGCTGAGGGAACAGAAGGGCCTCTCTTCCGGTCCTTTTAGGAGAACTTCCTGAAGGAGGTGGGTTGCCAGTGGCTGTTTGGTGACAGGAGTGAAGCACTTTGGCAGGCTGCTAAGGAAGGATGGTTTAGCTAGGAAGCGAGGCAACCTAGAGGTGGGAGCGGGAAGACAAACACTGTAGTCTTTAAATAACTCTTAGGGTCACCCTGTGAGTCAAGAGGTCACGCTGTTCACCGATTGCAGTGCCAGCCCGTCTCTTGCAGGTGTGGCAGTGTGGAGGGAAGATCGAGGTCTTACCCTGCTCCCGTGTGGCCCACCTAGAGCGACACCACAAGCCCTACGCCTCAGATCTGGGCGCTGCACTGAAGCGCAATGCCCTGCGTGTGGCTGAGGTCTGGATGGATGAGTACAGACACATGGTCTACCTGGCCTGGAACTTACCGCTTCAGGTTGGTCCCGGCTGAAGGGAAGCAGAAGGAAACAAAGAATGGAGCAGGTGGTGGGAATGGGGGGAGTGGGACAGGGAGAAGAAATGTGTCATCCCGGTTCTAACACATTCGGGTTATAGCCAGAGAGTGTGGCCATAGTGACATTTCACATGTATATGACAGTGCTATAGTCCAGACACTTATTATTTATTGACTTTTTAATATTTTATTGGTACATTCTAGATATACACAATGATCACATTCATCATAGGGAATTTGCACCTGTACATGATGTATTTTGATTCTTCTTTTTTCCATTCTCCTCCCCTCCTGTCAATTGCTTTACTCCCTCTTATTTACAAAAGCTTTGTTTCCATTTTCCCTTCCATTTTTTCTCTTTTTAAAATACCTTCTCCCTTCCTTCCTTTCCCCCTCCCCCCTCCCTAGTTCCCCTTCCCATTTGAACATTTTCTTCCTATTCCACAATATCTGTTATACATTAGGTCCTTATTTGCCCTTTAAGTTTCTCACAGCAGACAGACAATGCAATATTTACATATGTATGTTCGATTTATTTCACTTAAAAGTGTGTCCTCAAGGTGCATCCTTTACCTAGACATGTCTCAAACCTATCCCTCTTTATGACAGAGTAATACTCCATTGTATAAAAAATCCACATCAGCCTGGGGATTTAGCTCAGTGGCTCCTCTGTCTGCCTGGAAAGTGCAAGGTCCCAAATTCAATACCTCATACCAAAAAAATCCGCATCTTTGTCCATTCACCTGTGATGGGCATTTGGGCTGTTTCCAAGATTTAGCTATTACAAATTGTGCTGCTATAAAGATGGGTGTGCATATATCACTGTGGTGTGATGCTTTTAATTCTTTCATGAAGATACCAAGAAGGGGAATAGCTGGGTCAAATGAAGCCTCTCTCTAGTCCTAGTTCTTTGAAGTATCTCCACACTGATTTCCACAGTGGTTGCACCAGTCTGCACTCCCACCAACAGTGGAGAAGGGTTCCTTTTCCCCACAGCCCTGCCAGCATTTGTTATTGGTTGATTTCTTGATAATGACCATTCTTTTTGGAGTTAGCTGGAATCTCAGTGTTGTTTTAATCTGCATCTCTCAAATGACCAGTGATATTGAACATTTTTCATATCTTTATTTGCCACTTCTACTTTTTCATCTGAGAAGTATCTATTCACTTCAAATGCCCATTTTTGGATTGGGTCTTTAAATTTGGGGTCTGATTTTTTTGAGTTCATTATATATATTAGTCCTTCATCTCGGAAACAGCTGACAAAATTTTTTTCCCACACTACGGGTTGTTTCTTCACTCTGTTGGTGGTTTCTTTTTCTGTGGAAAAGTTTTTAAATAAGAGATGATCCCAGTTAATTTTTTGTGGTATTTCCTGTGTGGTCTGGGTTTTGTTCATAAAGTCTTTGCCTACACCAATGTCTTCAAGAGTTCTACCTATCCTATCTTTCAGCAGATTTAGTATTTCTGCTTTATTATTTAGATCTCTGATCCATTTTCATTTTAGTTTAGTGCATGGTGAGAGATATTGATCTAATTTTAATCTTCAGCATGTGGATAACCAGTTTTTCAACACCATTTATTACAGAGGCTGTCTTTCTTCCAGTGAAAGTGTTTGGCCTCTTTGTCAAAGATGAGGTGGCTGAGTGTATTTGGAGTTGTTTCTGCATCTTCTAATCTGTTCCACTGGTCCTCTGGTCTGTTTCTTTGCCAGTACCATGCTGGTTTATCACAGTAGCTTTGTACTATAATTTCAAGTCAGGGATTGTGATGACTCCTGCCTTGTCTTTGTTGCCCAAAATTTCTTTTTCTCTTCTAGGTTTCTTGTGGTTACAAATGAATTTTAGGGTTGTTTTCTCTAATTCTGTGAGGTATACAATTGGTTTTTTGATTGACTTTGCACTAAATCTGTATAATGATTTTTAAGTATGGCCATTTTCACTTCATTGGTTCTTCCTTCCCAAGAACAAGGGATAGATTTCCATTTTCTGATATACTCTTTGATCTCCTTTTTCAGAGGGCTGTAATTTTCAGTGTTAAGTTCTTTTACTTTCTTCATTAGATTGAGTCTGAAGTACTTCATTTTTGGATGCTGTTTTGAAAGATGTGGTTTCCCTAATTCCTCTCTCGGTGATTTTGTTATTCATGTCCAGGAGGGCTATTGAGTTTTGAGAGTTGACTTTGTATCCAGATACACTATTGAATTTGGTTATTAAATCTAGAGGTATTTTGGTGGAGTTTTTGGGGTCTTCTCTGTAGAGTATCATGTCATCTGCAAATAATGATAATTTAACTTCTTCCTTTTCTATTCTCATTCGTTTTATTTGTTTCTCTTGCCTAATTGCTCTGGCTAATGTTTCCAGAACTATATTGAATAAGAATGGTCACGGTGGACATCCTTATCTCATTCCTGATTTTAGGGTGAAAGTGTTCAGTTTTTGTCCATTTAGTATGATGTTGGCTGTTGGTTTGTCATAGATGGCTTTTATCAAATTGAGGTAAAGATCCTCTATTCCAATTTTCTGAAGGGTTTTTATCATAAATGGGTTTTGGACTTTGTTGAATGCTTTTTCTGCATCTATTGAGATGATCATGTGATTTTTGTCCTTGGCTCTGTCATGTGGTGTATTATATTTATTGATTTGCATGTGTTGAACCATCTCTGCATCCCTGGGATGGATCCTATTTGGTCACGGTGTATAAACTTCTTGATGACTTGCAAATGCATTCTGCATTTGTTGGCATTGCTGGTATCTTCCTGAGGATTTTTATGTCTATGTTTGTTAGGGAAATTAGTCTGTAGTTCTCTTTTTTTGGCTGGATTCTTTTCTGGGTTTTGGTATGAGGGTGATGTTTGCTTCCAGGAATGAGTTTGGGAGTATTGCTTCCCTTTCAATTTCATTAAAGAGTTTGAGGAATAGTGCCATTAAGTTTTCTTTAAATTTCTTGTAGAATTCAGCAGTGAATCCATCAGGACCTGGGCTTTTCTTTGTTGGTAGGTTTTTAATTATATGTTCAATTTAATTGACTGATATTGGCTTATTTAGATATTTTTTTGAGACAGGGTCTCACTATGTAGGTCAGGCTGGCCTGAAACTCACAGTGATCCTCCTGTCTCAGCCTCCCAATTTCTGGAATTACAGGCATGTGCCACCACACCTGTCATTTTATTTAGAATTTTTGTATGTTCTTGATCCAGCTTTGGTAATTCATATGTATCCAGGAATCTGTCCATTTCTTCTGTGTTTTCCATCTTATTAGAATACAGGTTCTCAAAATAGGTACTGATGATCTTCTGGATTTCCAAAGGATTCTTTGTGATCTCACCCTTTTCATTCCTAATTGTGTGGATTTGTGGCTTTTCTTTCCTTTTTTTTGATAAGGGTGACTAAGGGTTTATCAATTTTATTTAATTTTTCAAAGAACCAACTCTTGGATTCATTGATTCTTTGTATGGTTTTCTTAGTCTTAATTACATTAATTTCTGCTCTGATCTTTATAATTTTCTCCCTTGTATGAGCTCTGGGTTTGATTTGCTCTTCATTTTCGTTACATTCATCATTGGGATCTTGTACCTTTACATGACGTATCTTGGTTCTTATTTTTTTCCCCATTCCCGGCCCTCCCTTCACCCTCTCCACCCTTCCCTATTTATAAAGACTTTGTTTCCATTTTTTTCCTTTTCTCATGTTTTTTCTTTTCCCTTCTTTCCTTCCCCCTTCCCCTCCCACTTCCGCTACTCCTTTAG